AACCATTACTTAAAACTCCATTACTAAATAAATAGTTTAATTCAAGACTCTGCAATGAGATTTAAAGTCCAAGAAAAGATCTGGAGATGCTGAAGCAAAATAACCCTATAACAAGATAAGCTATAAAAACAATGCAACCCCACCGAGCACAGCAAGCAAAATGACTGGTTACTAGGACTCTGCTGACCTCTTCTGGAAAAGGCTCGAAAGAAAATGTTTCAGTTAAAAAAATAAGACATCACACACACATTTGCAAACCGTGTCACAGGAATCATTACCAGTATTTCCTATAAAAGCAATTTGATAACTAGAAAAATTAAAATTTGCAGTTAGTACTGAGTACATTTACTACTCATTTCTTTTTAACAGAAACTGCCTCCATCTAAACCTTCGCAGCCATGGCACTTCATGGACCTTGCTCACCTAGCCCCTTTTCCCATCTATATGGTGCCCAATGAAGGCCTTTTCCCAGTATGGACGTTTCTTCCATCCACCTTCCTTTCTCAGCAAAATGGGTCTTCAGATCACACTCCATCGGTGACCTTTTCTCAGTTTAGGTACCTCTCCCTCTCCAATTGCACTTAGTGATATCAAATCACTCTTTATTCTTTAGCTTTTTAATTCATGCCATACATAAGCATATACATGATACATAAGTATCACGCTGTTAAGTCTTCTCAAACGTTTTCTACAGCTAGAAAACCGATATTCATGGATTACTCTGACCCTGGGTAATTTTTTAATTTTGTTTCATCTCCTAGTAACATCTATTCCTCCCATGGTGATCCTAAAGATTGCACCAAAGGATGTGCTCTAACAAAAGCATAGGAAAGTTGGTGCTTCACTGTTTTAATCATTACTTATCATCATCACCACTATTTTCTTAGATGCAGATACTTGCTCATTACTAGATCCCATTTAATCAGATCCATTGTTGTTTAAATCATTAAATATTTGGTGGCCCTAACTTCAGTCTTTTGACTTTTCTCCTTTCTATCTATACCCAGTTCCTAGGTGATCTCATCCAGTCTCATACCTTTAATACCATCGATATGCTCAAAACTCTCAGATTTGTATCTGTAGTCCACCCCTCTCCTCTGATCTCCAAATCCTTACATCTGCCTACGAGTCAAAGTCACAAGCCTGTAACTTAACGTATCCAAATTTGAGCTCTTGATACTCCTCCCTCCTCAACACAGTCTTCCCCATAGCTATTAATGGCAACTCCATCCTAACATTTGCCCAGGCAAAAACCCTGGCATCATCTTTTCCTCTCATTCTCAAATCTGAAATCTGATCCACTGATGAATCTTGGCACCATCTTCAAAAATATCCAGAATCTAGTCATTTCTCATAACCTCTACTGCAGCCATTACACTCCTGATATACTGAAATGACTAATGCCCCTTTTCCCCACCCCACCCCACCGCCTTACAATCTGTTCTCAACACAGAAATCAAAGTGAGTACAGGTAGTTCCCGGCTTACAAGGGCGTTCCATTCAGACAACTCCGTCATAAGTCGGTTCTGAGGTAAGCTGAAGACAGTTTAAGTCCCCTGGTTACCAGCGTCACACTTAATGACAATACGTACTTGCCCTTTAATATTTTGTAAATCTGCCCACACTTTGAAACCATCGAACCAACCCCTACTCGAAACAAATTCTTCATCACAATCACCTTCACTTGCTGCTTGTGCAGTTTTCAAATCGTTGAAAAGTTTTCAAGCCTCTCCCTGCACTCAAGTTAAGGCTAAGTAAGAACTGTATGCACCTGTTCAATTCACCTACAAACTCGACTTAAAGACAAACACTGAGGAATGGATCTTGTTCATAACCCGAGAACTGCCTGTACTTCTAGTGTTCATTACTACTGCCTTTTATTTTAAGTATCTTTATAAATCCTATTTTTGTCTTTGGGGGTTGGAAACATAAACATCTGCGAGTGAACATCTGAGAATGATAACATCAGCAAATTACGTTGCAACAGTGTATGTAGTACATATTGCTAATGATAAGATAGATGTACATTAAAACCAAAGGACGAAAGAACAGAATAGTGAGTTTTCTAGGACAGAGAGTGGAGGCAGGGATGAAATGCAAAGCTACCAGGAAACTTCTGAGAATGAAAAGAAATGTTCTGCATCGTAACCGTGGTGGTGGTTTCACAGGGGAGTACAAGTGTGAAAACTCAGACATGTATCTTTTAAATGGGTGTAATTATTACATATAAATTATACCTCAATAAATTATTTTTTTTTAAAAATCTAAATCAGACCATGCCTACTCAAATTCCTTTAATGGCTTCCAATCACACACAGAATAAAAGTCAAAGTCTTCCAACAGGGTACTTCCAAGTACCTCTTATCTCACACACTGCCTCATTCACTCCATCTAGACCCACAGGCCTCCTATTTTTCAAGCATGCCAGGTATATTCCCACCTCAGAACATTATACTTGATCTTTCCTCTGCCTAAGATGCTCCTCCCCATAAAAACTGAATGCCTCATTTTACTTTATCTTGTTTATTGTGTCTCTTCAACTAGAGTGTGGAAATGTTTTTTAAAAAAAAATCTGTTTTGTTCACTGTTGCATTATCAATACCTGGCACACAGGTGCTCAACATTTAAATGAATGAACAAATTAGCCCTGTCTAATGCCACACTCTGGGCTTGGTGATTACATCTTCCAAAACCAAAACCAAAACCCGTTGCTGTTGATTCCAACTCCTAGCGACCCTACAGGACACAGCAGAACTGTCCCATAGGGTTTCCAAGGAGCAGCTGGTGGATTCCAACTGCCGACCTTTTGTTCAACAGCCAAATGTTTAACCACGGTGCCACCAGGACTGACCTTAAAAAAAAATTATGTACCTACCACAGTATAAACTTGTATCATCAAACTTCAAAGGAGAACTTCAATCATCACTGCTGAGCAAGACCCTAATGTTGCTGAATCCTAACAAAATTCTCAAAACAGCCATCTTAACTCTTTCTTGTCTTTGTCTTGAAACCCTGTAATTTTTTCTTCCCAACTCTCACCCTTATTTAGATATCTTTATTTCTTGTGTTCTCTGAGATGCGCCTTTGCTCAAACCCAAAATCACACCTCTCACGTCTTCCAATCTGAGAAAAGGTTCCCTTTCCTCTATATATAATTTTCCACCTCCTAGTTGCCTTTGATTCCCCATCTTAAATTCTTCACTCTCTCCTCATATCCTTACCTGACTTATCTCCAACATCCGTAATTCTACACTGTATATTAAAAAAACCTGCCTAGAGTTTACTGACACCTAATTATTGTACTATTTTCTAACTTCCTTTCAATACCACACTTTTCAGTTTAAAGAGGCTGAGGGTAGAGGCCCATAAACTCTAGAAAATGTTAACATTCAACTACCACAACTATACTATGTCACACTGGAAAAGGCACATAACCTCTCAAGCCCCTAGTTTCTTCATGTGAAAATTTGAGTCAGGCCACAGTGGTAGCTGTGTGATGACTAAAACTCTTCCAATTTAATTTTATCATGATATATTTAATGACTGGCCTTACACTATTGTCAAGCATGCCTCCATTTAAATTTATTCCATAAAGAAAATCTACCATTGGTTATTTACCTGGTACATTCAATGGGTCTTATAAATTACATTTCCTAGAGTTCAGTCCAACCCAGAGTGAGGTATATATTACATAACAATGAAATACTATGAGGTTTCCTCTTTCAACATTCCTTACTCATGTCTAGTAGCTGTGGTATTTTACCATTCACATCCTATGGTCGTTATCCACAAAAACATATCAAAACAAAATTTCTGTATCTTTAAGACAAAAATCTACCCACACATCAGACTGTTATAACAGCAAGCAGGTAATCACTTTTGTGTTTAATATAGAGCTAAATAAAGAAGGTAAGGCAAATATGTAAGAAATCGACAGGAACAGGGAGAACAATCAAGATAAATGTGTACATTAAAATGAATAGGTAAAAATAACAGAAAAGCTAAAATAATTGGGAGGGAAAATGTAAGAAAACTTCGTTATAAAAGATTAAAAAATAAAAAAAACAGCTTCAAACCAGATACTGATATGAATATTGATCCCTTATGTTTAAATTCTCATGCATTTTGACTGAAAAACAAAAGTAACTCAAATTTAGTACATTTTATGTTTCAACAGACAAAATTAATCTCTTTTCCAGGAATTCAAATAACCAAGAGAATCTGGTCTACAGTCCACCCCTGCTAACTTACTTACATCAAATTTAAAGATTACTAGATAATAAAACGGCTAAGGCGCATGGGAAGAAAGAACAACTCCCTATTAACTCCTAGTTAATCAAAATATAAACTGTATTTATTACTCTTCCAAATTTGGTACTTCTTTTATGTTCAACAGCATAGTCATTCAACAAACATACTACACTTAGGATACCTAAGTGGTTAGAAAACAGATAAACACCTCCACCCCGAGGCTCTAACGCTATGACCGTTATCTTACCTTCTGTTTAACTTACATGAACTTTGCATGCATATGCTGAAGTGGGGTGAGAGACGTGAGGGTACAAGCTGCACACACAGGGGTGTGAAAGAAACTTTTTAGAGCTAAAAGGAGTCTAATGTTCTAATTTTACAAATGAGAAAACCAGAGGTCAGAAAAGACACCTAGTTTATCTAAGGTTAGAGCCTGGTCTTCTAATGTCTAGTAGCCCAAAGCCATTTCCACTATATGACATGCCACCCCGGTATTCCAAATAGCTGTTGACTAAAAGCTAAGATATTCAAATTAATCATAAGTCTGTAATTGTGGGAAATATATGCTTAACAATCAATATTACAATTTAATTCTTAAAATACTGATAAAGGAAAAAGTTTTACTTATGATTTTTGTTAAAACGTATTTTCTTAGATTTTGAGCAATTTAGAAATGATTGTGAAAGTCAGAATACACTTTTTTGCAAACCTCTATATATAAATATAATTTTTAAAAAAAGAATACTTACAGTACTATGAAAAACAACACTGTGCCCCTTCCCTAAACTTTCTATATGAGCTGAGAGGTTAAAGCATATGGCTCGATGTCTTATCGCATCCAGTGTTTGTGCGTCGAAGAAATCATGTGGTCGTGCTGAAAGTCAACACAAAAGAGGTAAAAAAATATTTAGAAAAATGTAACAATCTGCCAAAGAGCTGAATAGTCTGTTTTCCACAAAAATAAGTAATAAAGATTGGAATAATCAATTAACAAATACCCATGTCTCATGTTTAAATTCAAGATATTCTTTGCTTTCAAAAAGTTAAGTATAGCTGAACAGACAAAAATGTACAAAAGAATTCCAACTAGTGAATGAATGTGGGCTAATTCTGCCCACTGGCATATGAGGTTCTAACCTCAGACCTCATGATTCTCCAATTCAGCCACTATCTTTTCATGTAATTCTATTTTTTGCTTCAGCATCTCTCCTGAGCTCCAGTCCTGCATTTCCAACAAGACGAACATCTCGTTCTGTGTGCCACACTGAGATCACACACTCACCATGGCCAAAAACAGGAAATACATCTCATGAACATTCTATATTAATACACAATCAAAATTCTTATAAATCTGACCAAGTGCTAATACTGCTTTAGAGTTTTGTGACAAGTATTTTTTTGATTACCAGGAGTTTTCTAACAATGATATAAGAAAATTATGAACACATTTTTGAACGCCAACGAACCCACCAAATATTCTATTTAATTCCCAGCTCTACTAGTTACCCGTTGTGTGACTTTGGGCAAATTGCTTACTTTAGAGACTGTTTCCTTATTTTTAAAATGGAAGTATCATACCAGCTATAGATTGATGTTATTAAATAAAACAAATGCATTTGAAAAATGCCTTGTAAGTCATAAAGTAGTTTATATTAATGAGGTTAAGCGACTTTTTAAAATAATAAACTTTTTCAAAAACCTAGAGTAGGCAATCTTTTAGTGTGATCACAACAAGGTTACACATTAAAGATTTAATTTGGTAAGAGTGTTTTTCAGATTTCATTTTCATCCCACTAAACAATACTATAAATTGTGCCACTCTTATTCCTAATAAGTTGCTCAAAATAAAGAAAATCGGTTGATTATTTTTAAATTGTGAAACTTCATGATACATGTAATTTCTGAAGATCGTCTGTAATTGAAAATACTGTTAACAATAAAAGAAGTGGCTTGATTTCCTGGTATACCATATTCTAAATCACATGCAAGCTGATTTACCACACTATGGTTATTCACGGGGTTCTCAGAGTATCTACACAAATGCACCAGAGCTTTTGTGGAGAGCCAATTTCACCAGCTGACGCATTCAACAGGACACAGCTAAATATACTTCTTTTCTCACCGGATTTTTCCTCAAGAGGAAATAAGTAGAACATCACCTAGTAACAAGCTATCAGAAGCCACAAGACCAGGAATGCAATACCAATGGAAAACCAGAAAGAAAAAATATTTGACACTTTTTAGGGAGAAAAAGCAGCAATTTTACCTAATGCTCAAACAAATCCCCTTCCTGTTAAATCTATGGCTACTGGGAAAAGTGTGTACTTTCTCTATGTTATCCAAAGGAGAAGGATAAGCACTTACAGAAAACAGTAACAGTTCACCCCTCTAAGTCATGCCAATCAGCCATTCTCATTAAAGATTTAAATACAGAAGTCGTCATTTTAATTAAATTCATAATAATAAAAGGTGGGGTGAAACTTCAAAATCTATCCATTCAGACCTTAACCATGGCCTCTCCACTGTTATAGTCTCAAGAATACCAAACTAGAACAGTAATCTCCAAAGCAGGCATGTACCATGATTCATTAAAGGAAGAAAATAATACCACTTTCATTTATTTTTCCATCTCATCCTTATTACAATATTCCTTCTTGGCAATTGTTTTACAATGTGCATTAGTAGTATTACCTGTTTACAATGTACAAACACACATATTAGGATCGTGTGCCAGATATTTTTTAAACTGATAAGGATATAATCAAATATCTTTGAAAACCACAAAAATTGAGACCCTATTTCCTGTGGTTCAGAACCATACATATTATGTGATTTTTCCCCCTTAGGTATGATAATGGTATTGTAGTTACGTACAAGAATATTTTCATTCTTAGAAGATGCATTCTTAAGTATACTGCATGAACACTCAAGGTGGCTGGAAGTTACTTTCATGATTCAGGACCAAGGGAGTGTATGTGTGTATGTACGCATGTGTGTGGAGATAAGCAAACGTGGCATAATATTAAGAATTGGTGAGTCTAGGTGAACAGTATACAAGGTACTATTCAGTGTACTATTCTTTCAATTTTTCTTTGAAGTTTATCAAAATAAAAGAAATTTATGTTGAAATGGCAAGTGTTTTGTTAAAGTTTTACAATAAAAAATAAATTTAAAGACTTTTATCAAACAAATTTATGCAGTTCTTTTTACAATGTACTTTTTCCTTACATTAAAATGATCACATGGCCTGTCTTTCTAGCTAATACTGGCAAAAACACATTTGTCATCCAAAGCAGCCATATACTGAAGTAGGCACTGGTGCTCCATTTCTAAGCCAGGACTGGGTATTTAACTGATCCTATCTTCTTTTTACAAGAATAGAGTAGCAAACTATTTAAGTACTGCCAAATGGTTACGGTCAAAGAGTCAGTAAATTTAAATGATTACTGTGCATACACTGAGACTAAAACAGTAATGAGGTTAAATGAAACAGGTGGGAAAGTTATCCTCCGTTTTCAGTATCATATTGTATTTTTATGCAAACAACATGCATCTTCTACGTGTATTTGCCAATTGCACCCTACCCCACGAGGTATTTTCGTAAGTATACTATGCTAATTTTTGTACAGCAACATATAAAAAAAATTAGCATAGCATGCTAATGAAAATACCTGGCGGGGGAGGGCACAGCTGGCAAACACATGTAGGTGTGCATTATTTGCATAAAAATATGGTATTTAGTAATTTTCAGTTTGCAACTGCAAACTACTCAAATTTTCAAATAAAATGATAAAGATGTTATTTCTGTTTATAAATGGAAGTTAAAAGGAAAATGAGATTCATATAACCTAAATTCACTTAACAGTCAACTTTGAAGAAAAATAAATATGTCTGTTTTAACAACACACTTAAGACAGAATGAAGATTTTAGGACAGCTTATTTTTTACTTGTGGTTTGTTCATTTGTCTATTATAGCTTTGCAGTAACAAAAAAATCTTAACGTTTTTGAGACTAGCTTTATTAGTGTCTGAACTATTACTAGACTGGATTAGCGTCTGGAGTCTCTTTCTTCTATACTCTAATCAAACTCCAAGGGAAAGGGTTAGAGGTAACTGACTTTTCTTTTCTCTCTAGCTCACCCTTGCAAACAGACTGTCTGCCAGCGACAGCTCCACTCATTCATCCACTCGTTCATGTCCTCTTCATTCACACTTACTCATTCAGGACACACTGAAGTAGCCAGCGGGCACTAAGAACCAGACACTGAGTTTCAAAGTCAATCCCTGCCCCTAGCATTTACAAGTCTTTTCACCTAATTTTTTTATATCCTCAATAGCAAGGATACCTCTCAATCCGGTAATTAAGCAAATACTCATTGTACGTATGTGTTACAATATAAGTGATGAGACACAGACGATATTCAAATCTTTTTATTATTCACACACACTGTTTTGAAGTACATAGGTTACTTAACTTCAGGTGAAATTACTTGGTTTTCACCTTTAACAAGTTCAAATTTTCAAAAACTTTTCTAGAAACACCAACATTATATTTTAAATTTACCTAATTCCATATGAAGTCTGTATTCTAATTCCACATTTATTTATACTCCTTTACCCCCTACAGATAAAACATTTATCTCTAAATTCTCACACTGATAGACAGGTTTCGTACCCGTTTATTACTGTTGAGAGAAACACATAAGCAGAGTTGAAGAATGGTAAAACTGGATTTGCATGAAAGCCCAAGACATAAACAAAAGCCATCTAATACAGATTTTCTTAACTGAAACACTTACGTAGTGAGCGTCGTCTTTTGTTCTTTAATTTTCTCCTTTTGTTCATTCCAGCTTTAGAAGGAGATTCTTCTTTGGCCTTTGGCTGGCTAGAAACTTTTGAGGAGTTCTGCTGACTGAAGTGTGTGGGTACATGGCGAGCTAGCCCTCCCTGAGAAGCAAAGCTGGCATTGCAGCCACCAACAACACACTAAAAGAAAATAAAAGGGAAAAAGGCGGTCAAGAATGCTGTGTAGGAAATGAATAGAATATGAACAAACGGAATTATTTATTTTCCGAAGTAAATCAGTAATGCAATAGAACTAATTCCAGACCCAAGGAACCTAAAGTAAATGTGAAAAAGTGACTTCCATTTCAAAGTGAAAGCAGAAAAATTTGATCTAGCACTATCAGTCTCAATTAAGGTCAATTCTGCCTCTCAGAGGATACTTGGTAATGTCATTTTTGGTAGTCACAACTGGGTGGGGAGCTACTGGCATCTAATGGGTAGAGAGATGCCAGGGATCCTGCTAAACATCCTTCAATGCACGGGACAGCTCCCCTTCCCCCACAACAATGAATTGTATGACCTAATACGGCAACAGGGTCAAAGCTGAGAACCCCTGATGTAGGATGACATCCTAGAGAGTGAAGATGCTTTCTGCACCTTCACCTTGTAGTGTAGCAATGGAGCAAGACAAATAAGGGATGGGAACAAATCAAGTATTTTCTGTCTTGAACTGCAGTTAGATTTCAGGATTAAACATATTTTTATTCACATATACAGATAAAATCTCATTATCAAGACACAATAGGATAACCTGCCAGCATGCAGACTAAACATGGCCAAAGTAACCCATGATCTTTCTAACTGTTTCTCCTTATCCCAACACCAGCGGCTCGGGCCCCAACCATCAGACTTTCTCACTTAATCTATATAAAGGCTCCATCATTCTCCAATCACCCAAGCTCTAAAATATTCACTATGACTCCCTCTCCCAAATTACAGACAAGTCTTCAGTTACCAAGATACAAAATTCACATAATTTGAAAGCAGAAAGGGATCATCAGGGACTAGTCTAACCCTCTTATTTTATAAGTAAACATTAAGTTACCCAAGGTAACACACATTAGGCAGAGCTGGGAAAAAAACTCACATGTCAAGATTCACCAAGGTTACTAATCTCTCCACAATACACAAGACAAAAATAGTGGTCTATTACCTTCCCAGAAAAATCCAGTTTTGAATTAATCACTTTTCTAAGAGAAGCAATCAAGTTTTTGTACCAAAGAATTAGATATTCTGTCAATTACTTGGATTCCGGATTTTTTATCACTTTTATCTTAACATACATGCGACTTCAAAACCTTCAGCAGCCTCCCTACGTTCTACAGTTATAACAGACAGAAATATTAACTTCTAAAGAATTTTCATGTAAAGTTAAACTATTGGATTTAGCCTCTCTCACAGAGAGGACTTGGGCTCAGAACTGGCCTTATGCAGTCTTCTGTAAGTTCCATTAAATACTGCCTCCTCAGCACTCTGTACTTGCAAGATTGAGAAATCCAAGTTAACTACCCAGGTCAACTAAGCAGGTCAGCTATTCCAATAATAAATGAAGGACACTCAGATATCACTAGAATTACAATACACAAATTAGCTAAAGTGTGTGATTTCTGGTTAGATCCTAGGAAATAATTTTGGCAGGTCTTCTTACAATTGAATCTAATTAAACACAATTTTCTAAAATAATCCCCAAACAGCAAAATCCATAGCTATATGAGTAATAACTTTTCTAGATAATATCACAGACAATCTACGTATCTCTAGGTTCTTACTTTCAGTAGAGGCAACTCTACCACTTTAAACTTCTAAAAACACAACACAACCCTCTATTCATAGAAATCATAACTTTCTTCACAAAGTCTCCCTGAATCTGCCCAAATGGAAAGAAGCTAATCCTCCTTTGAGGATAACCTCATACTTTTAGTTTATCTAGACACTTATCTTAACTCACCCTTTCCGTGTATTTTGAAGGCAGAAATGTACTTTTATGAGTATCTAGAATCCCAGAATCATCTTGTATATAATAAATATTTCAAACTATATTAACAGAACTGAAAAGCCATGTGCTTACAGACACTGATAAAACTGATCTGGCTAAAACATTTCACAGCAAGCTACTTACATAGTACCATTAGTAAATATCCTATTTATTTTGACATACCAGAGACATTTCAGGGACTCTAATGGCACTCATTATCATTACTACCTACCATTATTAAACAGGTAACAATGGAACTAAGCAATTAAATTATTTCATCACCCACCTCAGTGAAAGATACAGTTAATATCACTCATTATGTCCAATAACAAAAGGACATCAATTACTGCAATCTTCCTGTATACACAACTATAAGCTGCCTATGATAATGGGACTAGAACAGTTTAAGTCTGGTTCAATAAAGTTTCTTATTTCTTTATCAGCAGCAATTAAGCTAGGTTCTTGATTTCAAAACATCTAAAAGGCTTGGCTATCCCAAGTATTAGGCTTAAAAAAAAAGGCTGAGTCTTTCAAATACTATTATATCACAATAACAAGTTATTCAAGTCTATAAATAGTATTAAAAGAGTCAATCATGTTGAGCTTTACACTAGTTGCTGAAGAAAAGTTACATTAAATAAATTAACTCAAGGCAACTAAATGGCTATAAATATTGAGTTCAAAGTAAGTAGAAATACTGGAGTAGAAGAGAAAAGTAGGTGGGAAGAACGTAAAACTACTGAGTGTATTTGAAAAGTACAACTATGTAATTTCTAGCATACACAAATTTATCCAAACTACTGCCACAATGGTAATAAGTAATAATCACCAACAATACTATATACAACTTTTATTTTCCTTAAAAAAAAAATATACGGAAATGTACACAAGGACAAAATAAATACTTCTTTTATTTTAACAACAATAATCTCTTACATTTATTTGGCACATACTGTACCCAAAATATAATAACTAGCTACTCATTAGGTAAGAAGAAAGCTGATCCAGGTCACACTACTAATAAATGTCAGGGCCAGGATCTGCAGCATGCCTATAGGAAAGACTGAGTGTTAAAAGTTACGGGACCTATATGCTAACAGAAAAGTGAATGAGACCATTTATTTAAAAAAGAATAGAAATATAGTCCTTAAACATATGAAAAGATCTTCAATCTCATTTATAATTAAAGAAAAGCAAATTAAAACCACATCAGAATACAATCTCTTAGATTGGCAAAAATAGAAAAGTTTGATACCTACTTCTTAAGAGGGCAGATGCTCAAATATTGTTGATGAAGGTACAACCCCTAAAGAGCAATTTGTCAATATTTATCAAAATTATCAATGCTTATAGCCTTTGATCCACCACACATATCATTTCTGGGAAGTTTTCCTATATATATAATTATACATGTACAAAATGACATATGTTGAAGATTCCTCACTGCAGCACTATTTGTAACAGAGAAAGAACAGCAACAACCCAGACGTCTAGGAGATCAAACACACTAGGCTGCAGAGACACAAATGAATACTACGAAGTTGTTTTAAAAAGTTAAGAATATGCTCCAGGAACTGATACGGAAAGATCTCTGGTATAAAGTATGCTTAAAAAGCCAAGTATATGAATGTACTTAATGCCACTGAATCGCACACTTAAAAATGATCAAAATGGTAAATTTTATATATACTTTACGACAATAAAAAATTTCCAAAAAAAAAAAAAGCAAGGTGCACATGCCAACACAGGATGTTAATAATAAGGGAAACTGGGTTAGGGAAACGGGAACTCTCCATACTATCTTCACAATATTCCTATAAATCTAAAACTGCTCTGAAATAAAAAGTTTATTTAAAAAATAAAGGCACAGACAGTATGTAGTATACCAACTTTTGTGTAAAAAAAAAAATTAGACTACTTGAAGAATTAATCAGAAACTAATAAAACTATAAAAGTATATTGGGAAGGGACAGAAAAGAGGGAGCAAAATTTCTCAATTTACTTTTGCTTTTTAATTCCTGTATCTTATTAATGGTGACCTAGTCAAAACTACTAAGTGATTTTTTAAAAAGCAACTCCACTCATTCTCTAATGGAACTCAAGGAAAGTTTCTGGCACAGTATTTACATACCAAGGAACCCTGGTGGCATAATGGTTAGGTGCAAGGCTGCTAACCGAGAGGTTGGCAGTTCGAACCCACCAACGGCTATGCTGGAGAAAAGACGTGGCGATCAATCTGTTCCTGTAAAGATTAAACAAAACTAAACCCGTTGTTGTTGAGCAGATTACAAGTTATAGCAGTCCAACAAGACAGAACTGCCCCATAGGGCTTCCTAGGCTGCAATCTTTACTATGGAAGCAGATCACCAAGTCTAGGGCAGGCTGGTGCACTCGAAGCAATGACCTTCTGGTTAGCAGCTGAGCGCTTAACCACTGTGCCACCAAGGCTACTTCTTAATAAACTATTAGACTTCTTTAATTAGAAACCAATATAATGAATGGAATAATTATATTTACAGAAACTTGCTCTTTACCCAGATTTCACAGACTACTTCTATTTGGCACAGTGATTTACAACTAATCTCTGTAATATGACCTCAAAATTGAGGGAACAAGTATCAAATCCCTTAATGCTCTATAATTCCTTTATTTCATATTATAACTGGTGTTATTCGCTTGTAAAAAGGCTGAAATCTTTGACTGTAAGAAAACATAATCAGACCACATGGATTAACAATAGCTGATCAATTTAAAAGACACAGCCTTTAAACCAAACAATGGTTTAGCTTAACTAGGAAAGAATGTCTGCCTTGAGCATTAAGTGCTTTTAAGAACTACATGAGATCAAACTCACAACAGCAATTAGACAGGAACCTTAGGGACAGTGAGTTTACCTTAATGGGGGAGAACAACTCAGAAAAGGAGGGTGAAAATGGTTGCAAAATTGAAGAATGTAATCAATGTCACTGACTCGTACACACAGAAACTGTTGAATTGGTCTATGTTTTCCTGTGTACATTCTCAACAACAAAATAGATAAAATAAATGATAATAAATAAACAAAAGATATGGCTTCAAGTCTCTGGCCTCAGTGACATTTTTTTCTTTTTTCCAAGTTGGAAAAAACTGGATTAAATGATCTCTACTTCTCTTCCACTTTTTTTTTTCCATATGCAATATTTATCATTTAGCTTTATAAAAAGGAGTCCTGGTGGCACAGTGATTAACCATTAAGTTAACCAAAAGGTTGGTGGTTGAAATCCACCACCTGTTTGCTCCACAGGAGAAAGATGTAGTAGTTTGCTTCCATAAAGATTTACAGCCTTAGTAATCCTACGAGGCAGCTGTACTCTGTCCTACTGGATCATTACAAGTTGGAATCGACTCAATGGCAATGGGATTTTTTGGTTTTGCTTTACTGAATGAGCACTTAACGTATTCATCATAGGATGTTAAAAGGTGAAAAGAAAGCTGAAGATCATTTTTAGTCCAATCTTTTCAGAAAACTTGGTTTGAGAGAGAAGTAGCTTGATGTGCACTCAAAACCCACAGTCCAATGCTTTCTGTTATATACGATGCTTGTCAGATCAACTGGATCTCTGAGTTAAAACTTGTAGTCACTTCTACCTAAGTTTTTAAGTCCCTGAGTGGTGTAAGCAGTCTCCAACTCAGCTACAACCAGAAGGCTGGCAGCTGGAATCCACCCAGTGGCACTATGGAAGAAAGGTCTACTTCCACAAGACTACCCACTGCCATAGAGTCGATTCCGCCTCATGGTCACCCCATGTGGTACAGAGCAGAACTGCTCCATAGGGTTTTCCTGGCTGTAATCTTTACAGAAGCGGATCATAAGGCCTTTCTTCTGCTCCCTTCCACTTCTGAAATTCCATGTATCTATAGAAATGTTAAAACAAATTTTCATTTTTAAAAATTTAGGAGGACAAAAGTATGCCCATTAAGAAACATGTCCACTTAAGTTGGGAGTTATCAAAAAAACCCCACAGATACACACTTACCTTGAAAGGTTTGTCTCCACTGTGTGTTAGCATATGCCTCTGTAACCAACTTTGACTGGTTGATGGAGTGTTATATACTTTACAACCTTTCCATAAGCAAACAAATACCTGTTAAAAAGAAAAGCCGTATTAATTTCCATCACTTATTTCAACAAAGAGTTTGATCCCTTGTAAATTAAAAAGAATATCTTGTAGGTCTTCACTTAACAAAGAGCTATTTAATATATGAATCAAACAAAGCAGATGTGAATTCACTTCTATAACTAAAAAACACATATATAATGTAATATAGAATCCATGCTTTAAGAGTTTTTCTTCATTTTTTTTAACCTTACAAAGAAATAATACATAAAAGACTTGCCAACGTTTATTGATTTCTTTTCTCTAATGATCCAGTTGTTGACTCATTAAAAATCTATAGTTTAAAATATATTTTGAAAAAGTTATGGAAAATATGTAATCCTGCCAAAATGAATATAAAGACTCATTAGCAACTATTAAAATTAATTGAGTTTTATTCTCTCTAGGTATAAACTGCTTCAAATACTGCATATTTCACTATCAGTTGTTCTAAGAACACATTCACACTCAAAAGTTAATTCTATAGAAATCTCTGTACAAGCTAATGACAAAATTCTTTATAACATTTTCCAAGCAATTAAGATTTCCACTAAAATAACCAGATAGACAATTCTACTTAAATAAAAAAATGATTCTGAAAGTTTAACTACATTAAGCATTTCGATTCAAAACTATTAAAACAGAACTTTCCAGTATGAAAGGTAAAGCTACCTCTTCCACTTAAGGAATTGACAAACCAATCACACGGTACCATTCAGAAGGAAACATACAAAATTTTAACAATATATCCCTAGGAACTGAGACTATGGATCATTATTTACTTTTCTGTATTTACTGCATGAGAGAACAAGAATGTACTAATTTTAAATTATCAGGAAAATAATAAAGCTATAAACAGACAATAAAAATAAATCAAATTAAGAGTCAATAAACGTTAAGTAGTAGGTACTGATATTTTCATCTTCAAATGTGTAAAACTAAACAAATAATCAAATTATAATTTTTCCGTCAATTTTTCCCTATTCTCACATGCACACTAATACTACTTATACTGTTCTATTAATTTAAAATTATTTCCAATTATCTTTATTATAAAGCAAAATTTAATACAAAATTAAATTTAATACAACTAGGATATTTGCAAAAGCAATGGACATAAGCTGGCTCTATTATTATAATAGATCCATATTCTTGGACTCAGGCAACTGAGTATGACTGGGTTTGGAATGTGACAAGACTAACAATCTTTATCATTGTCCTACTAGTGAGATATCAGTTTCCTAACTGATTATATTTCCATCAAACTGAACATTAAAAACTGCTCCCCAGCATCAGTAAGAAAAGTATAGATCTATTGTAATCACTACCTTCAGAAAGTAAGGTAAGAGCAGATACAGAGCCATACCTTCAAGAGTACAATGTACTATATACAGAACAAAGATACACACAGAACTAAGGAAACGTTGTTTAAAAGTCAGTCTCAAAATAAAAATGTTAAAATACTAGAAAAATCTAGTCTATGAACAAATACCAGATCAATTTTTACTCAAAACCAAAATTATTTTACATCAAATAGGTCTAACGGGGCAATACTACTAGTGCCATTTTAACCTGTTTAGAGAATTGCATCTTCTGATCCCACAACAGATTTGCTAGTTTCTTTTAGTGAAACAGATAGAGAAGACATAGTATTTCCTCCTTCATACTTTAAAATTCTTCTCCCTAGCACATGTTTATAAAATAAGTCCTGAGGTTCCCAGAGTTAAAAATTACTTTTTAAATGAATCCAGGAAAAAAAAAAAATTAAAAAAAAGCAATACATACACACTGTGGAAATTAATCTAATATTGTTTGATAACCACCTGCAGAAAATCAGAGCTATCTATCAATTTCCTGATTCAAGATTAGTACTAGATTCTGAACTGGAATCTTAAATTTTCAATCCAAGTAATAAACAGGAATCAAAGATTGATTTAAAATTTTCTCACAATTCATGCCACATAAACAGAAATGCAAGTATGTGGAAACAAAATCATTTTTTGCAACAGTGAAGAATTCCACAAATGTAACCCTTAAGGACCCCTACCTCTGGGTTACTCTCAAATCATAGAAAAGGTGGGATTTAGTTCCTCCAGATAAACACCACCCCTACCTAACATTACCCAATCACTACATATGAGGAAGTAATAATTTCTGACTTCTAATTTTTTTCCCTATGAATAAATATGACAATGGGGAGATGGTAGGCTGTAATTCCATGAGACACAGCCTTAATTAGTAAGTAGATACGGCCTAGACTCTAGATGGAATGTCTAATAACACTATTAGGGCAATACCTTCAGGGTTTCAAAGAAAAACCCTAACCTTCAGCCTAGTGAATATTATAGGAAATGAAATAAGTAGAAACAGACCAAAGTTAACTATGTTTAGCTATATATGGGTGAAATATTTGTGTCAAGAATAATATACTGCCTTTCCCTCTGAAAGCTAATTCTGGGGGAAAGAAAACACTAAACTTACACAATTGTAGTGGTAGTACTTTGATACACTAAAAATCCCCATCAAGTATCCACATAAACCACAAAACTGTTCAAAAGCTAAATTTCCTTCTCTCACCCTTATCAGGAGACCCCTTTGACAAATGGTTAGAGATAAATCTGACAAAAGTTCTTTCTGCAAACCTGAAATTCTTTGGATGCATATTTGTAAAAAAACTTTTTATAATTTATTTTATCTTTGTTTGTTGTTAAGAATACACAGCAGAACATATACCAATTCAACAATTTCAACATGTACAATTCAGTGACATTGATTACACTCTTCCAACTGATGGAAAACAATTTTTATATCCTATTTTTAGAAACTTTCCCATCGTAAAAATTAACTCCGAGAACCAAACTCCACAAGATTCAATCCAAATTTGAATGGAATATGTTCAAAACCATAATCTATAATGATTTGTCTATACTATTTTAAAAATAAATTAAGATCTAGAAATTTTAATTAGAATATTAAGACACAGAAGTCCACAATTTAGTCTGTCAAGATACATAAAGACCTAGATCATATTTAGTTCATATTAGATATGCCAGAAATAGAACAAAAGTAGATGATCTGAATTCTCTCCACCTCTTACTTTGTAGCTGTGTAATGCTGGAAGAGTAACGTAACCTAAACCTCTATTTCCTTCCTCATCAAACAGACATGCTATAAGCACACATTTGACAATTCGAAAATACTACTAAAATGCAAGACAATATAGTCAGTCAGAAAGACTAGTAAACAGAAAAACTGGGTTCATATTAGACATTAAAAGCCCCTTCTCAAAATACTGCAATCAGATTTTTCTGCCAGATTGGGGGCAGAGAGAGGGCATATTCCCACAGCCTTAATGGACTAATACTCGTTGCCGACGAGTCGATTCCAACTCAATATAACTGCCCCCATAGGACTTTCAAGGCTGTAATCTACATGGAAACAGAATGGCACATCTTTCGCCTGCAGAGAGGCTGGAAGGTGTGAACTGCCAGTCTTTCGGTTAGCAGCTGAGTGTTTAACCACTGCAAGACCAGGGATCCTTAATGCATTAATAGTAGTCTAAAAAGGGTACTCCAATATCTTTTTGGACTATAAGAGAAGCTTCAAATGTACAATGACCTAGCATGTAACATGTAGAAAACCTCTTGCCCTTGAGTCAATTTCAAGATTCATAGCAACCCTAAAGGACAGAACAGAACTGCCTCACAGGGTTTCCAAGGAGCGACTGGTAGATTCAAACTGTTGACCTTTCGGTTAGCAGCCATAGCTCTTAACCACTGTGCCACCAGGGTTCCATAGAAGATATACAGATCTAAAATTTTCAATGTTACAGGGAGGTTTGGGCTTTCTGTTGAGAACTCGAGGAACTCTTACTCATTTCTGTTGGAATGAGAGCCTTATCTTTGGAGATCTTCTCCAGAATGCCCAAGATGAAGAAGGCTAGTACAAACCTGGGAACTTTGTCTCAGTCTCGTCTTTGGTCAACTTCCTTGAACAAACATAGCAGTGTATTTATTTAAATGTATGCACAACCTATACCTTCAATGGCTCACATGACAGTACAGATAACTGCACCTATGCCTACCTGGTCGCTAATACTTCACACCTGAAGTACACTAATGAATCCATCTAAATTTTCTGTAAATAAATTAAGAAAATCCACTGCAAAAGAATGCAGTGTAACCTGACAGAGTCTAGAATGCATGAAGAAATTTTGTTATACAGTTAAGTAAATTAAAATCAATCACATGTAAATACAGAAAGTAAGCAGTATAATCCACATGCAAAAAAAAAAAGTCTAGTTATATTGAGGAATTAGATTTCTTTTACAATGAAATGATACAAAAAGATGTATAAGGCAAGAGGCATACCACCTAAAGTTAGGAAGGAGCTGATGATCTAATGGTCCCTTCAAGCTCTAGTATTTTAACGGGAAAAAAACAAAAATAGCCCATTCTTTTTCAAGATGTGAACATATAGAAGAAAAGCAGAGTATTTTTTAGACTCAAATTATTTTGGTTAAGATCAGATTGTTCTTTCAAAACCTACCTAAAATACAACAGACATAATTTTTTATCGTTATTTTTAGCCACTATTTTCAATTGCATGTATAAAGATATTTAACATAAACAAGGCTAACGGTATTTAATAAAACACAAAAACTACAAAAATAAAACATTTTTTGTTTATAGCAAAAGATATAACCCATTTCATGTTGTGTTTAGATGTCAACTGACAATCAAAACTCAAAATGATGCCACATTCTAGCAGCAATCTGATCTGAGAGTATACAGATGCCGTGTTGGAAAATACATAAAGGTGACTGTCCTCATCCAAGTTTTTGAATATCCTATCATCTCCCCCCCCAAAACTTCCTCCCTTATCCTGTCATGGATTGAATTGTGTCCCCCAAAAAACGTGTGGGGCACCTTGCCTAGGTCATGATTCCCAGTATTGTATGATTGTGTTATCTGATGTGATTTCCTTAT